TCGTCGTCGTCGTCGTTGTCATTGTCGTCGCCGCCACCCCTCTCTGCCACCCGCCTGGCAGCCGTCGGCGCAGCGGCGCGAGCAGACCGCCGCGGAGAGCGTGCAGCGGGCGCCGAGGGCCCGACCACATCCTCCGCCAAAACAGCCTCCTGCAGAGCAATGCACAACTCGTTCCTCAGCGCCTTTATCTTCTTGTCAGTGTATGATTTGAGCGCAGGCCCACGATCCGTAGAGGAGGAGGCCGCTGTATTCCTCATTGCTGCTACTTCGCCGTCAACATAATCGGCGTGGGCAGAAACGCCACGTTTCAGCTTCGCCACATCCTCTTCTAAATGGCGGAACTGCTCCTCCGCCTGTTGCTGCCGTCGACGCTCGTCAGCACTCTGCCGCTCTAAATCCGCTTGGCGGAGACGTGTTTCACGCACAGAAGCTTGCGATTCGCGCACATGCCCATAAACTTCATCTAAACGCCCACGAAGGAGTTCAATATCAGCGTTATGGGCAGCCGCCGCCGCTGCTGCTGTTTCCGTCACCGCCGACACTGGAGGAGAAGGGCTTTGAATCCTTCGCTCCACTAAGCGAGGATCCAAAGAAGATGACTTCAGCTCGCGGATTCCTTCTTGGCAGCGGGCTGCCACGTCACACAAGGCTTCTGTCTCGGAGGACAGTCGGCCAACCTCGTGCTTTTGGTTCGAGAGGACCGCGTGGTGGTGGAGGTTTGTGTCCACAAGATGCTTGCAGCACGAAAGCAACACAGAGAAGAGGTCCGAGTACGGGCCAGCAGTGTCAAAGGTGTGATGCTCAAAGAAATTCTGTAGCTGCGTGAGTGTGTTGCCTGTGGTGGTGAACTCGTCTACCGTTGCTGCGGTGGCCGCCGCAGCTCCATCACTGGGCGGAGGGGTAACAGTGAACAACATAACGTTAGTGATTTGTTTTGTTTTATCGGTTCCCGCGCACGTGTGTGTGTGTGTGTGTGTGCTTCGCGCCCTTCTTTAGCTACCACTGCAAGAAAGAAATACCTCTCTCTGATTTGTCTCCCTCCTTTTCAGAAACGCAAGAACGCCACAACGGGATGAAAGCGACCAAGAAGCAAAAAGAATCAACAACGCAAACACATACCCCAACCACCACACTTCCCTTTTGACGAAGTGCCGCCCAAATGTCTCCCTGCTTCACTCCCTAAACCACCCCTACATGTGTGCATGGGACGGTGGTCAACCAGCATGCGGATAAGGACGTGTGCTAATATATATATATATATATATGTGCGGTGACCCCTCTCCACATCCCGCCGTTATCCACCTCTTCCCCCACTCTCGTTTCCTTTCCGACCTACAGTACGACGACCCAGGGACGGCTCTCAATTTCTTCACCACCTGTTCGCGCATTCTCAACAACTCAACCTTCTCTTCCCACAATAGGATTCAATTGTTTCCCCCCCACCTCTCTCTCTCTTTATCTCTCTCACTCTCTCTCTCTGTGAAATAGTGGGCGCGTGTGGTTTGGCGGGGCGTTACCCGGCTACGCCGTCTCCCACCACATCCCGTCGGCACTCCCCCAAGGGCAGTGGAGCTGCGTGTTGAAATTTATTTTTTAGTGTCCACACTATGGTCCTCAAAGGCATACACCAGGAGGCTGCGAGGGACGAAAGACAGCTGCGATGACACACGAGCGTCGCGGACGAGAGGAGGGGATCCTCGTCGCCGTGCGGCGGCTCCAGTGCGGAGACTGCCTGCCATGCGCTGACTGCAGCAGCAGCACCTGACAAGTGGCACCCCGTCGCGAGAGGAAGCGGCGCGAGGGACGGCAGGATCCGCTGGGCCTGGCGCGTGCTCTGGATGTGCAGGGAGGCCCACACGTGGCGCGGCACACCGGCGCTCGCAAAGACGCGGCGACCAAACATGCAGCACAACAGTGCAATTTGTGCGGAGACTCGCTTGCGCTTTACTTGACCATGTCATCGTAAGAACAAGTTGCATGAATAGATAATGAAGAGTGAACAAGAAGGGAAGCCGCATGGCACTGCCTTGCCTACTCAACACAACAGCAACACCGAGGAATGGTGAAACACAACAACAATAGAACTTTAACCACAACTGCACATTTTGCTCTATGCCCATGTACACCAAAATAACAAATGATAACAATAATGCTGACACCCCAAAGTATTGTCAATATGGTCAAAGACACATCAAAACAACATACCAAAACAAAAAAAAAAAGAGGAACATGTGCTTCAACACTTTATCTCTTTGGGTACACACGTATGCAATAACAGGCGAGGGAAACAACCACAACAACGTACACTGCAGAAGCAACCGAAATTGTAGCGATCACCATCGTAAGCAGATTCCACTGCGTTGTGGTCTCTTCACCAATATAAGAGGCGGAGGACTTACTGTCACCGGCTGCACCAGCCACCACGTTCCACTGCGTCATCATCATCATCATCATCATCAGTAGCAGAAGCCTTACCAATAACACACCAGAGTACGTCACCCTCATCTTCGTCATGCGTCCAAGACAGGATCCAGATGGGATGCAGCCCACGGAAGAGAGCTTCCTACACGGCGGTGGCAATAACAACCTGAATCAAAAACGAGGGAAAGGAAAAACAAGAAATAGGTATGCAAGACTACTAAGGCAGACAAGCAACCAACGAGAGTGAGGAGGGTGCATCGATACACAGAGACGGAGCGAAGGATGCGCACACAGAGAGATCCGTCACATCCTTTAATGTATTTTCGGGATATCCAACACTGCGGATTCCTGAACGTACCTTCTCTCTCTCTCTCTCTCTCTCTCTATCTCTCCCAATCACACGCACACCCCAAAATATTATTTCTTCCATTGTGTACACAGGCCGCCCTCAGATGACCTGCACAGTAACCGGGGAGGTGTTCTGCTCTGAGACCGGATTCCCCTCCTCACGTGCCAATTCGCTGCGCCTTGCAACACACAGCCCCCCCTCCGTGATACGGAACGCGTTGTAAAAGCACAGCAGCGCGCAGACGGTTCCGATGATCGACCCGGCCACAATGTCATCAAAATGGTGCCAGTAGTCTCGAGTTCGGCTTACAGCACACATAAAGGCAATAAGCAAAGGACACAAGGAGAGGATGAGACGCATAAAGCTGCCACCGTGTGAAGATGGACGCACATAAGCGCAAAGAAAGAGCGACATAAAGACGAACACCACGAAGGAGGTGGAGCTGTGCCCAGACGGGAAGGAGAGACGCCCTTCTCGGAGCTCCCGATGATGGTTCCCCAACCTGCAGTAATACTCCGTGGACGTCATGTCCTTTACCCCACTCTTAGCGTAGCTATCCTCATTGTACCCCAGGGACCGCAGGCGATTTAAGTAATCAGGGCGAATACGGCCTGCGTACACCTTGAGCACGTTAACAACCACCTGCTGAAAGGCTGCGGCCAGAAGCTGGGCCCGCAACCACGTCCAGAGCGGGCCACCGAGGGCTGTCACAACGACGCCGTAGAAAACCGACACCGTAACTAAGAACACGAAAAGTGTCCATAACGGAAATGTCACATCAGTTATGTACGGGTAATCAATTGTCGGGTCTCTCCAGCTGAAAGGGCGACAGTACGGACTTACCATTACTGAAATGATCGTGGTAGTTATCAGCAAAACAAGTGCGACGACACAGTCGAGGAGCTGGTAGTGATCCCACAGATATTTTACTCGCTCCCAATCCATCTTGTACTTCACAATTATAAAAAAAAATCAGCAACAAGACACCCCGAGAGGGCTTAGGGAGAAACAAGCAATGGAGAATTAACCCCCCACCCCACCTGCATGATCATGTAGGGGAAATAAGAACATGAATCCAAACAACAACAAAAAAAGATACCACTGAAGAGTAGCCATCACAGTTCTATTCTGGAGACATTTTACACTGCAACACCACACCACATCAGCCTTAAGATCATGTTTAGTGACAGTAAACAACACGTTATGGGCAACGTCGATTTACCAAGAAAAAAAAAGCGGAGCAGACGGAAACGAATATCGCATCTTCCTCCATGAAGAGGACTTTCATANTATGGGCAACGTCGATTTACCAAGAAAAAAAAAGCGGAGCAGACGGAAACGAATATCGCATCTTCCTCCATGAAGAGGACTTTCATACATTTTATTTGATCCGCCTGGATTGAAGACAACCAACGTGCTTCTCTTCTCCTTTGCTTCTATTCTAGTTTTCATGCCCGTCTTTCCACCACCACTTACAGTCCAAACGTTTCCCCACTCACAGCCTCCCCCTCCCCCCTCTTACAGATATCTCACACTGTCCTGTTGCACTCCATTTTCGATTGTTATGCCCGTTTCTACAGTGAAGACGCCGCTGCTGACGACACCCTTCGTCGCAGCCGCACCACCACTACCGGCTAGACCATACCTGATGCGGTTCTGGTGTTCCTCAAACTGCTCTCGATCCCTGTCCTGGATGGAAATGACGGAAGCCATGCAGAAGTACAAAAACATAAGCAGTAAGAATGAAATGGGCGCCTCATTCCACAGCGCCGCAAAATTTGAACCTGCACCACTAATACCTATGCCAAAGCCAATAAGGTTCATAACGATGAGCTGTATCATGCCAATACTCGCCCCCATAATGCGAACGTACCTGTAGAACACCGGCCGTTTTGCCAGTGCAATGGCTAATCGGGTCTTGGGGTGGAGCAGGACTTGCGTGACCAATATCTCTTGAAAGAAGCATATGCAGACAATACCGGCCCAATATATTAGTCGAAGCTCAATATCGTGCCATACCGCAATAAAGAAGAAAATGGGAAATATGCTAAAGTGCTTTTTCCTACTTCCACCCATCGGAATGTACATGTAGCGTACGATCCATAGATTGAAGGAGGCATGCCAGTCCCGCCA